TATTAGATATTATATAAAAGATAAAGTAATAAACAATATAATTTAATACTCTTAACGTTAAATCTTTAAAAAACAAGTTTATGAAATATGTAAGATCTGCAATATGCTATACTATATACTGTAGCTTACTATGCATAAAATAGTGGAAATAAAACTTGCTTTTTCGATAGTAATATGAGATATATAAGGGGTCAATGATTCTTACACTATTGAGTATATATGCTATTATATATATTGAATAAAATTACCAATAGCATTTAACATTTGTTTGATAATATTTGAAAACATACAATTCAATAACCACCATATCTAATTTCAAAAGTCAAAGTTTCAAGTTCAGAGATTTGGAAAGAGAAGTTGTTTCTGTTTTGATCGAAAATTATGACTATGAATTTCAAAAAAGAGAAAGTAAGATTCTTGACGATATTATTATGGAATCTAAAGAATAGACCTTCCGTGAACAAACAGAAACTGTTGGATATTATCCGATATTTTTTGAAAAATTAAAATAAATCGAAGATAAAGATAATGAAACTAAACTTCGCAGGATAAAGGAGTTTTAGCTATTAGTTCAAGAAAGAGAACTTAAAAGAAGAAGTCTTGCTGACAATTATGGACAAAATTATATTAATTCATTGCAAAAACTTAAATCTGAGAATTTTTAGCGTAAATAATAGTTTAAACATGCATCTCATTCTATTTGTAAATTTGATAAAATTTATCACGAGTAAACTCAATAAAGGATAGATATTTGACCTTTTGTTACTGCAGTTAAACCAATCAATAAATAATATGTTAATATTTTCTGGAATGTTAGTTTTGAATAAAAAGCTTAACTTTCTAATCTCTTACAATGTAGTATGAACATCATCATGTGATTAAGGTGGACCAATGATATTTGATTAAATATATACTTGATTAAATCCAAAATATCGACTTTGACTCAATGATAATTCAATGGACTTGCGAATGGACCCAATGGACCTGTGAATGGACCAATGGACCTGTGAATGGAACCAATAAAAACTAGTTTATTTGTGTAACCATTGAGGTCCATTGCCAACCCTGTCTGTGGCATATAGCACCTGAAGTGG